CCCCCCTCTCTCTCTCTCATAAACCATTCAGCCCTTAAACAGCTTTGTAATATTATGCTATCCGCAGCTGCACGCAAAAGACGTGTTAAGATTCCCGTGGGTGGGGGAAAGGGGGAGGGTTCTTTTTCATTAGGTTTGGTGTTTTTGTAGGGATGTGATTTATCCCCCCTGTAGCCTGGATTATCCTTGGCGGTAAGGGTTAAAGCAGTCCGCATCCTTGACAATGAGATTTTTTTTGTGGGGGTGGGGTAATTTTTTTAAACGGCGTTTGCAGCTGCATAAGGTCATACGAGCACTCGGGACACATTAAACGCTAGTTCAGTTTGAAAGGAAATTTGAATTTTGTCCGGGTGGCGACCGGAGCCTACTCATATTAACTTTAGGACCACCAATGGATCTTTAACTACGTGTGCAACTTGCACACAGGACCTCCGAGATTTTTTCACCCTTATCCGAGAAGGATAGGTGTTAGATCTTACCTACCATAACATCACGGGTGTGGCTGAAAGACTGCAGAGCTGTGGGAAGGAGCCCAGGAGTAGCAGTAGAAAGGCTGCAGAAAAAGTCTGGAACCCTGATGAGGGGGCAGAAAGAGAAGAGGAAAGCAGACAACAGAACATGGTTAGAGAGCAGGTAAGGAGCGAGATTTTTAAAAAAAGACAAATTTTAGAGAAGAAAATTTTTCGCACCTGGGACCTATTGAATGAGAGGCAAACACCGTAACCTCTATACCACGAAAGCCCCTAATCAAAATTCTGCGATGGGCTGTGTTTGATGTTTTAAGTATGTTACTTATTTTATTGTAATGTTTATTTGTCATTGTTGTAACATTCTCTTTTAAATTTATTTCTTTTGGGCTTTTTTGTTGTTGTTGTTGGCATGGGTGTCCTTTTCAAAATGATGTATTCCCCAGACAGCGGCAAGACTGGCAACGTTATTTTATGAATTTAGGAAGGCTAAAGAGCGACTTGAGGACGTATACCAACTGACCAAAGACGCTACCAAGACCGGGGCAGTACTTCAAGGCAATAGGGTGTCCTTCTCTCATCCAGTTCTCGGTCAACTGGGAGGCAAGGCGCAAGGTTGGTGTATTGTTCAGTCCTATCATCTGTTGGCGAGACAGTACGTTTTCTGGCCCTATCCTAGTTTATATTATTCCATACAGATAGAGACAGCAATTTTGTTGTTGTAGCATTTTAAAAATATTTTTTTTCCTTTTTTTTTTGGTTGTGTTTTTGTTAGTTGTTGTCGTTGGGTTTTTTTTTGTTT